ATTCGAATAAATTAATTTCGTAAACATATTTCAAATATTTTTTTCTTAAAAAATAGAGCTAAAAAATTAACCATAGATCTTCAAAAGCATTTTAATGTGCCAGACAGGACAACTAATCTATAGACTTGTTACTAGATAACACTTAACTACTACTTCTAATATTATGCGTTTGTAGTAGTTTGATGTCCGCTCTGTGTCTGATTTGAATGTCTTCGACTTTCAACAAAATGAGTTTTAAAAAGTCATCCATAATTAACATAACCTAGTCTACAAGGTATCCATTGTGCGGACAACGAATTCATTCTTGATATCTACATTGTTATCGGCGCAGTAAAGCAAGGACAAACAGTCATCACATTCGAAAAATAATTAATAACGATTTTATCAATTTTATTGGTCGTCGATATCAATACTACAATGCACTCACTCAAATCTTTACCAAGTACTTTGTATACAATGTCTTTCACAGATTATATAATATTTCTTATAAAGAAATGATTATTAAATCAAATAGAATCTTTCTTTTTTCCATATTCTATTTTCTTTTTAATTACTTTAACTAATAATGACACTATTTTAGAATCATTCCATTATTACGTGTGCCTGCAATTGCGCGGATTAAAAAAAAACTTTATTAGTAGTCTATGTGTTCTTCTAGGTTATGTTCTACACTTATGCTAAATTTCAGCGAGATCCCTTTAACCGTTTTGAAGATACCTTCAACGAACATCCATACATATTTTTATCTAAACATTCGCATTTATAATATTAGTAAGAACTAAGATATTTACAGTGCAATCCTCTTACTAGAAGATTAACTTCATTGTTTAGAATTAGTAATGACAAATTACTCTTATGTATAGTAACCTAACCTAATAAAATAGAATTTATAGTATTGTCATTTAATTATTTTAGTAAACTTAATACTTTTGTTAATCACATCTTACTAATATTATAAATGAGAATGTTTAGATGGATGGATGTTTGCTTGAAGGCACAGATGTAGAGCAATGTCTGGTAGAACACGGACTACTCATTTTTTTTGTTAATACCGCATGTCAGGAGTCACGGGCTACAGCTAGTATACAAATAATTTGAGTAGATTTCCATTTTGAAGTAACTATGAATATGACAAAATTTAACATCGACTTTATTGACCCAATGATAATAATACTGATATGAATAAAATGACCTCTCTGCCCTGTCATATGCAACGCCTTATCTCGTATCAAATCTCTTTAAGCCAGCTATCAAAATCATTAAACAAAAGTCAAAATTTCGGCCTATTAACTACGGCCGAACCGTACCCGAACCAAAGCGAAACCAATTTGAAAACCTGAATTTGGTTTGTTCCAACAAACCATTTAGCAGCCGGGTTTACAACATTAAATTTAATGTAGAGTCTGGTCTGGTAACTTCTACTTATATTAGGTACTTTTCAAAACCCAAATTTTGTTTAAAAAGCGTTACTATTGAATTTTACTTTTCATTTTAGATATATTGTTTACTAGTTGAACTTAAATTTAAGTAAATGCCAACATTCTTCAATGCTTTTATTTAGCTTGCTTTGTTTATTTGGGTCAAATCTATTTATTGAAGTTAGACATACTTCCCGTTGATAAATAAATCTGAAATTTAATATGCATCTTTATTTCTGATTACAACACTATCTTAATAATATTATAAAACGTAAGTTTAGATGGATGGCTGTTTGTTGGAAGGTATCTCCCTAATGGCTTAACGTATCTTGATGAAATTTGACACAATTGTAGAACATATTCTGAAAGAATACAAGGCTGCTTATTTTATTTCCGCGCGGACGGAACCGCGGACGACACCTAGTATTATATGAAATAATAAATAAAGCTAGTATTTTATTAAATTTGTCAACTAATTTACTATACGTTACTTGGTAACCTCGGATTAAGTCCTTTGAAATAGATTGTAATTTAGAGCGAGCATCAGAGTGCACGGGGCGTATCGACCACGATAATAATATGCAATTTGTTTCAATATAAACATATAAGTGTTATCACATTCACCTCTGTAAACATACAGTATGTTATCAGTTGCAACTTTGAATAGTGGCATATTATCTCTACTGATGTAACAGACTTGAGATATCGTGTTGCCTGGTGACGCTTGTGTCATTGGGGATATTAGGTTAAAGCGAATGAGTCGAGATTTTTTGTAACCTCTTTTGCTGATATTTATAAGTAACAGTAGTAGAGCCCGCTTTAACATCTTCGCACGTGGACTTTCCGGATGAGAGGATGCATAGGAAGGAAAAATATTTTCTTTCTGTGCATCCTCTCCTTCGGCGATTAAAGGTAGGTAACGCATATGCAATTGCGTATGTCAGGGATTTCAGGTGGCCGTGCGCTCGTTTGCCACCTTATAATATAAAAAGTACACCAGACCTTGGATAGAAGACGCTTAAACTAAACCTAATAAATCATTTCGAAACGATACGAATAATCGTTCAGTTTTATATTTATACTAGCTGAAGCGAACGATTTTGTCCGTGAGTTTAGCTTATGTGTTCTTCCAGACTATGTTATACATCTGTGCCAAATTTAATCTAAATCCGTTGAGCCGTTCCGGAGATACCTAGTAACAATCATACATCATCCATCCATTTAAAGTTTAGTATTTATAACATTAGTAAGAAGTAAGATTTTAAAAATAGCAATTGGCATGTCATGACGTAAACAAATTTTTGAATGCAAGACATTGTCAGTCATTGACATCCTATAATGTCAAACAATGTTAGGCTTATCTGAACTGTAATTTAAATTAAATAAAATAAAAAATGCAAAAAAACTCATTCTAATTGGAGTCCTAAATTATGTAATCAGAAGAACATCAAATTCTATAAATTGCGAAAATAACGTAATTTTTTTTAATTTTTTAAAATTGGAATATAAAAAACAGATTTTGGATAATAAAAACACGTGCGACAAAGATTATTGTTTTCTCTATTTTTTCAAACACTATGAAAGAGATAAAAATATATTTGTGTTATCGTTGCAGGAGTAGCTGTGAAAACCTACGTTAACGCTTTCTTATTACAAATCTGATCACGTAAATCTCATTTGTCATTTTGTAACACAACAATATCTGTGTGAACACGAGCTTACAACAGAGAAGCATCTTTAATTTGTTATTAGTTGGTTCCATTTTTATCCTATTATGCTTACGTTAATGCATCTGCAAATCACAAATAAATCGTAGGTAATAATATTATAAATGCAAAAGTTTAGATGGATGGATGTTTGTTTGAAGGTATCTACGTAACGGCTCAAAGGATAATAAAATTTGGCACACATGCAGAACATAGTCTGGAAGAAAACATAGGCTACTTATTAAGTTTTTTTTTTAATTCCGCTCTAACAGAGTCACAAGCGACAACTAGTATGTCATAACACTATTAAATGTGTATTTATATCCAACAAGAATTAATGAACTGTTTTACATTTTAGGAAATAGATTTTTATCTACAAACTTGCTGTCGCCCGCGACTCTGTCCGCGCGGCATTAAAAATAGATGTTGGCCGATTCTCAGACCTACTCAATATGCTCACAAAATTTCATAATAATCTGTCAAGCCGTTTCGAAGGAGTATGGGAACGAAAATTGTGACACGAGAATTTTATATATAACTTTTAACTTTTTAAATTTAATTCGAACACATGCATTCCAATTTGTGTTACACAAAGCCCAAAGTATGTCGATTCTTGTAGAGTTCTGTGGATTTTGATTATTTATATTTTTTTAATAATCTAAAGAATGCTTTAATATTATAAAGATTGTAAGTAGAACTCAAATAATTGTAGAACTTATCTACATCGGAATAAAGAATATAAATCTGCACTGTTTATATTAATTAAAATCATATAACGTATACATATGTTTATTACTTCGAGGACAAGATTTCCAATTAACGCATAATTTTAAACAAAAAAAAAATCCTTAATAACTTGTTTTTTTATTTCCTTTTATTACGTTGGTCGATAGTTACTAGTTGTCTAGCGACGGCAATTTTTATTTGAATTTAAAAAAAGAACGAAAACATCATGTTGTTTTTTTATTAAAATGTCTGTTTACTTTTAATAATTGTTAAATTATGTTATTAATAAGTAATATCTATATTTTTAATTACTTTATTATCGGTTATTGTTTTGTTTATTCAAAAGTGCAGTAGCAAAATATTTTATTAAGTAATTCATTTAAATGTAATTAAAAGTAAATAGTTCTGTTAGGTTACAGGGTGTTTCACTTTTCAGTTTAAATATTTCGAAATGATATTTTTTTGCTAAAATATATACAATGTGTGATTCTTCATCTATGCTTGTTTTCTAATAACATATTTAGTCTATTGAGCATCTATGATATTCAGATCGTATTTGGAAGATTTTGTGTCTAGACAAATTATAACTTAAGATTTATTATCTTATATCTCTATATTTAATGATATGTAACATACTGTATACTATGTTCTATTTATATACTGTTATTTGATTTATGGAATGTTAATGAAGAAAATATACGCTGTACCGTTGTCGCCGTTGCGTTTGTTTGAACGGTAATGTCTCGCGCATACTTTTAGTATTCAACAAAATAAGCCTAGTAAATATGTCCCTAGTCTATATTTTCTTACTCTACAAAACAAGCCCAGTAACAGGTAAGTAAACTGCAGTTAGACAAACAGTAGCGATGATAATTCTACATAGTAACTCACGACTACTCAATATTTGCACGTTGTCCTATACACATTCCTTACAGTCGACCGCGCACAATTTACAGCCAGACGACACAGGTTTTTGCATATTTACTTTATAATGCAAATTTATTATTACGATCATGACAAACTTGCGTTATCATATCCGAATAGGTCACGTTTTCATTCACTAAATCCCGGTTATCCTAGATACGCTCATGCACTGATTTATACACAAATGTTATCACAATGTGGTCAGAAGTTGGTAGAGAGTACTAACCGGGCTGTTGCGGAGGCAGCAGGGGCGGCATCGTCGGCGGCGGCGGCACCGAGGGCGGCGGCGGCGCAAAGGGGGACACTCCGGGTGAACCGGGTACAGAGTCGCAGCTGGAGGAGCCCAGAGAGCGTGGCGGTGGCGGCGCTGGGACGACAGGACTCCGGGGTGCCTTCACTACGGGCGGTTCGCCCCGTTCCAACTCGATGCCAGGCGGCGGGTGGCCAAGCTCGGCGGCCCGCGCGCGCGCCTCATCCTGCGCCTGGGCACGCCGTAGCGCTGTCTGCATTGCCATGACGCGCTGCCTGTCAGCGGTGAGACGGCACTTCTCGCAGGTGCAGTACCGATACTTGCAGTAACGTTTGTGGCCCTTCAGCTCGACCTTGAGCCGGTGGTTTCGACAGCGAGCGCAGTTGGGCGGCGCACGCGGCACTCCCGAGCTGGAGGCCCCGGGTTCGGTGCGATCGTCACATTCATCGGGAGACCGGCGCCTCCACGCGCCTACGGACACCATGGCGGGCTGTCGGTGGCGGGCTGGCGCGCTGCCGTGTTCCTGTGTCGGAGGTTTGCACAGGCGGCACGTCGCGCGGTCACGATGCGACTGCCGCCGGCCGCCACCGCCCCGCCCCGCGCCCCACCTCGCCACGCGACTGCATTTATTGCTGTGCGATGCATAAATGCAACTCAATGCATTTTAATATTATCTTCAATCGACGACAAATAAAGTGTGTTCCTTGGTCCACTTTTTTTCTTGCATTAAAAGAGAGATACCAAAATCAAAGTTAAACACCAATAGCCATTTAATGTAGGTAGGAACCTACAATCTTAAAATCAATGTACACGACATCGAAACAACGTTACATTAATATATGCACTAGAAACGTAATCCCATACACTACAGTGACTACAGTATGGTAATTATTTTAGTAGTACCCTAATAAGACCAAAAGCTGTTTTGTGTTCATATCAACGTTTTATAACAGAAGTTTTTGTTTTTGCAAATTGCTTTAAATCTTTATCAACTTACCAAAAAAAATATCTGAAATAAGCAAAATCACCTAATTAAACAAAGAATAAGTACATAAACACCAAAAAGAACACACATATTACTTTAAATTTAACCAAGAATACAGATTTACCTATTTAAATTAATATAATTGCAAATATTCAAACTAAACAAAATAGCACACGAATAAAGGCCCCAACAGCGTGTTGCACTTCCATCGGATCCGATCGCGTGCAACATGACGCACACAGACGTGATACTATCATAGTTAAACGTAATTTACATGTGTGCAACAACACTCACACTAAAATAACACAATCGTAGTTACACGAGAGTTGCATGTGTGCACGCCTCGTGATCGACGTCTATGTGTGAGTGAGGAGAAATGTAAGCGATGCAACCACGTGTCTGTGTGTGTGTCTTATAGAGTATCAATGGACTTTTTTACTTCTATTATTTACACAATTCAAGTTAATTTATTTATATATAAAATGATTTAATTTCATATTTAAAACAAATAAATAAAAATATCACTGGTTCGCAAATATATAACCTATTTGCAAATATTTTAAAATAATTTATTCCTTTTGTGGTAAATATTTGGTTTTCTTTCATCTCTTAGCACCTAAAGTTTACATTTTATGTAAATAAAGCTCATATTAATTTAAATTCATACATTCAGCACCTCAGTCTCGGATACGTACCAAAAATTTTTGTAGATAGGATAAGGTGGCCAGCTCGACTGATACAGTGATGCCCTTGGCTCTCCCTGCGTTGGTTTCCAGCTGGCCTCTTTGCTAACTAATCTTAAAAACAAAAAAAGGAAATTAATAGTACAATTTATAAAGTTTAAACAGAGTACATACAAATTTAATAACAATTTTTACTTTCAATAACAGTACAGTACAGGAAAAAAAATATAAAAAAATAGACAATCAAAAAAAGTTTAAGGTTAAACACCAATGGATTTAAATTAATAACAAACTGTTTTAGATAATATGTAATGATTCTTACGATATCTCTATTCTACATTTCATGACCTCATTAATTCTTTTAACATGACAAAGGTAAGATATACATTACGCCATCTTTCTTAATTCTAGTCATAACAACCACTTTACCAATCTATCACATTTTATTATATAAAAATTGTATATTGCCATTATAAATTACCACAATTTCAAAAGAGATATTTAAAAAATGATAGTTATTTTTAAAATTGTTTCGTAATATAATCAATATAAAATGATATCTTGCTTCTCGTCATAAATGCGAATATTGGTATGGATGGATATTTGATTCAAGGCATGGACAAGGTATCTCCAGAATGACTGCATTGATCTGAAATTTGGCATAGATAATATAACGATATAGTACACTAAGTTGTGAAATAAAAATACTCAAATAACGTAGTTGTGGTCGGTTCGAGGTTTGCGGGTATTACCATTCAAAACGTTCATATAAAGTTTGGACATTTGAATACAATTCTGAGGTATGAAATAATTTATTTCTCATATGTGTATATACTTACCGTCGTGTTGGTTTACTTTGCGATCGTGTTTTATGCCAGAAATTTTAAACGAAATCACATTGATTAATAGTAGTTTTTGACGCTAATAATGGTTACTTATATTGTGACTACCTATCGCTCGCGATTCCGTCCGCAAGAAAAAATAAACTTATTAGCCTATGTGTTCTTCCAGGCTTTGTTCTACATCTGTGCCATCAATCCAAACATTAGCATTTACAATATTAATAGTAAGATTACCACCAATATATTATTTTTTATCTGCAATCCTACTTTTTATTCCACTTATAAAAGGGATGAATAGTATTATAGTACCTTAAATATCAACTATAACCTACATTGGTGGACGGATTACGAAAAATGGAGGGACACGATTTATTCTCCTCCAAAATACAACTAAATAGATTTTCCTAATCTATTTAGTTGTATATGTTGTTCTATTTTGTTGTTGTCCTACTCTTTCCTAGAGTGGCGGCGCCTGGTGAAGTGGGTAACTGATACTTGATGACCACGACCAGTCTGAAGACTGCAACGATGAATTAGAAGAAGAAAATATCATTTAATTTGGGTATGAAGCTAATTTTTTTTAATCCAAGTATTTCTTTTATAATCATAAGAATAATGAAGATCTTAAGTACGTATGTATAATATAAATCCATGACAAATCATCAGACTAATAATTATAATAAATAGTTAACATTGTTCAATGTATTTTCTCTGTATGACTCATTTATCTTATACGAGTAAATTATGGAATGGTTGTTCAGTTGTTTCTAAGTGTAGGTTTCCATTGGTGAAACACTTGTACTTATAACAATATATCGTCATCCCTCTCATTTTCATTAGAAAACTGGAGATGATAATATTTTTATAGTGCTTTAGCTTTGTAATTTCACCGTAACCTGAATTTGAGGTTATGTTACATTAAAAAGTTTTAAGTTGTCATAACGGAGTTGAAATTAATTTGAAAACTTTGGGACAAATTGAAAATATTACTTTCCTTTGTACTTATAATATTAGGCGCCATCAATGATTTAAGTTACATGAATTTCATGATTTCACCCCTTCCATGTCATAATCATAGCGAGTTACATATTTTGCAATTAATAAGTAGACTTTGTGTTCTTCCAAACTATGTTTTACATCTATACCAAATTTCAGCGTGACCCATGCAGCTGTTCCGGAGATACCTTTTAACATCCTTCCATACTTCTATCTAAACTTTTGCATTTATAATATTAGTAGGATATTAGGGAAATATTTAATCTGTTTGTCCTAAGTGTATAAGATTTGTGTACTTTATACACCTGGTCACGTAAAACGTAACTAGCTGCTACGCTTACGATCCCGACCTGGCCGTTTTTATTATATTTATAAAAAAATATTGTTACAAGCCATAAGCATACGAACATACTTTTTAAACCATTGTGATTATTTCGTAATCACCTAATATAATTTCTAATTAAATATTACTCTATGCATTGTTTCCAGCCAGCATTTTTATAAAATAATAATTGTCATTGAATTGAGTTATTATGTTATCTGTCCCTTTATTCTGTAAATATTAAGACGTTTGTGAAAATAAAACAATCGAACAATTGATACGAATGAATAATCAATTCAAATTAGACCTTGATGGTATTAAATTATCTTTCATTATAACGCTTTTTGCTTGCTAGTCCGACTGTAACACAGATTTAGAAATTAACGTTAACATTACTTTGTTAAGATCAAACATTTCTAGTTAATAGAAAAAATAATTGTCATTAAATAGTTTTTTTGTTTTGTTTAGGTCAAGGTTAACGTGCTTGCGGTGTTTAGATGTCAAATGTGTCAGCTGGTATCTTTACGTGTCGCGCTCATATAAAATACTCTCAAATAATAGGAACAGAAGGAATCTTAAGTGTTGTTTTAACGCATTCATTGTGGGTTTCTGAGACAAAAATCTGCGTTGAAAACATATTGTCGTCTCTTTTTTGTCAAAGATAATGACAGGGATGACGATATGTATACAGAGATTTTGGTCGCAGAAACCTTCGGTTAGTGCCACCGAATCATCGAGAGATTTCATTTTAATACAAAAGAAACTCGCATGGAATGTGTTAATTTAATCTGAATAAAGTTCAAACAATAGAATAAGAATGATTTGGCCAGTAACTTATGTAATCTTTTGTTAAGGATAGTCCAATACTTAATAACACTGGTAACTAAATTGTTATTAAATCTTTCTTTCTTTTTTTTACATAAAGGCTTACGATATACAATTTTGACATAATTGCCAGTAATTTAGGTTGCCTGTTTCTTATAGTTACTGATTGCTATTTCCTTGAGGAAGGTAAAGGAAAATAGTCATGGTTATTGATGATTTCCTTTTGTTGAATGAATATTCTTTCCTGCAAATAGTTGTATGCGCCAGGGCCGGTTTTAGAATTGCCGGCGCCCTGAGCGCGATTATTACGGCGCCCTCTTTTTTGGTATTGCCAGAAATCTTCCAAAGCTGTCTTCGATGCCTTATGCCCGGCGTCGTGGGTGGTCGCACTTCGCTCAACTCTAACACCGCTATTATTGCCGCTGGTATTGTCATAGAATTAATGTCGCCAGTATATAAAGGTCGACAATAACTAATAGAACAATTAAAGATCTTATATATTTACAGTTAGTATGAAAATTGTAAGCAACGAGTGACGAATGGTCAGTTTACATAATGGTACATTACAGTGGGTCATAGATTCCATCATCCTGTATACAATAAACAATGAAACTAAAGTTGCATAGTCATAGCCCTACGATTACAATAAAGATATTTTAATAGAGACATTTATTTATTTAGACGTGATACATTTCCTTTTATTATTATTATTTGCAATAGTCTGTATTTAGTTTCAATTTATAGCCACACTGATATCTATAAATAGATAGGTTATTGCTTGAAAATGACAACTTTATCCACCGCCAGCGGCAAAATGGTTAAAATGAAATGGGCACAAAATACCACCTCTTATAACCTGTCCATTAGTCAAGCTACTAGTCCTAATAAAAACCCTTAGCAAAAAAA